CAACTAACCTATACTTGATCTATATATTCAGAAAGAATCCATGAGTAATCCAGCTTTAGCGTGGAAGTTGCTTTCTTGATAAGTTTGTTTTTACAGTCTGTTATTGGACAAAGTTTGGACAGTTAAGTGAGATTCACTCACTTGTCTACCTACCTGTTTTCATATACTTAACCCCATTCTTTCTCATTATTTTTATTCTTTCCAATTCATTTCATTTGATATATATTGTTTTACTAAGCTTAATATGTGTATGCGACGTTTTCCTTTAAAGAAATATATTTAAGCGTGGAGTTTCATCCCCGACAAGCTTACTTTTATTTTTACTATCTGAGATAGCCGTGGTTTGGCCGAGTAGTGTTTCTGTCGGATGATTATTGATGGTGAAATAAGAATTTGGTCAGCAGGAAGGGAGTGGCTTGTAGCTCAGTTGGTAGATTATCAGGCCAGAAACCCACTGATAGTTGGTTGGAATCCTACCACGGTTCAGATTTTCATTTCACCTTCAACGATCAACAGGTATAAATACTAGTCTACCAAACCAAGTCTATCTCAGGTAGTCAGAATGTTAATCAATATGATACTCCCCCTCTCTGAGTCAGCTGGATTTGGATTAGGATGAGAAGTTCGGACTAAACAGTGGGTGTGGATACTATCAAGTGGTAGTAACAAGTCACGAATTCATATGGTAGTCAGACAAAACTCTTGGTAACTGAAGTGAAGTAAAAATCTGGTCGGCACTCAAACCTCTTAGCTCAGTTAGTCGCTGGTTCGCATCCGGTGGCAGTCCAAATTGTCATTTCATCATCAGTCACTACCCAGTATCAACCACACTTATGTATGGTTCTTGGCTAAAGGCACTAAGCATATTTTAAGCTGTCTTTGGCTCAATGGAGGCCATGAAGTGAAATATTAAAGGTTTTTTATTCTGCAAGTTTTGTTCTTGTTGCTAACTGAGAACAGTAGCAGTTCTATTGTTAATATACGATAATCCAACGTCAAGTAATATTTAGTGGCAGAAAATCGTTAAGCTTCGCGATCACATTTCAAGGATGATGGGTCTTCACTTGACTAGTCTTTCAGAATACACTTAATAACATTTACTGCTCTCTAGAGATCAATCAGTATACCTATACGGCGTTATTTTCAATAGATAAACCACAATTACTGATTGAAGTTTAGGATTAACAAGTTTTAGGATCAGCTTCCTGAGATCTGTGAATAAGGCAAATGCATCAATATTTGAGGTCAACCAGAGACTTGTTCAGTGCTGTTTACTGTTTGTAGTTCATTCATGTTAAAATAAACACAGTCTGTCTTCGGCTAAAAGGAAAAAGATACATGATTTTTTGAACAAAATTTGTTTCCTATTCTCATACCATTCTTTAAAATTCTTTTAAAACCAGTTTTCTTAAAGTTATGAAGAGTGGATTACTTCCTTCATTGGGTTACTTTGATTCAAATCCAGTGTTTACTACAATTTTCAAATAAGGTAATACATGTTTCCCTTATGGTTAATAATTGTTTGATAAATACACTCAACAAGTTGTTTATAGGTGTGGTTTACTCAACAGGAGTGAAAACTTAACTTTTAGGAATATAAACCATTTCAGTAAACTGTTCAAAAAGAAACAATGATAAATTTCCTTTTACCCTAGTAACCTAACATCTTCCTCTTTGTCCTATTTGATGACATTATATTTTGACTGGACCTTTTAGACGTAATGTTAAAGAGAAGGGATGATGGCTCGATTCAAAAGTCAGTCTATGACAAACCAACTTGGTCCGGTCGATTCGCTAACTTCAATAGTTGGATACCTCTTAGTTGTGAACGAAAACTCATTCACCCACTGTGTTCCAGAATCTATAAAATCTGTTCAGAAGATAGGGTGAATGATGAAATTGAAACTCATGGAACAACACTATCGAATAACGAATACCCTAAAAGATTTATTGATAAAAATCTGAAGAAATGAATCACTCCTCATCCTATTACAGTTCCTAAGAAAATTTTAGCCATTAATCTAGAATTCAAAGGAGGCACCACAACCGAAGTGCTAAGAACCGTCTATCAAGGTGCATCAACAGTAGCTTTCATGCTAATAGACTGTGACTGATTTTCTCCAGCCGCCGTATTATTCCACAATCGTGAAGAATAGGCTACTACTTATATTCACATCAGTTTGTATCTACAAATTCAAATACTTCTGTGAAGCTGACTACATTGAACTTTGTAAGCTTATTTTGCTGAACATTACTCGCTTTCTTTAACCAATGGTGAGCGAAGAAAAACAATTTCATTCATACGTGAACACCTAGTAGAGTAAGGTTATTCAGCACATCAAGACTCGTCCTTTGAAGTAATTTACAAAGTTATATTGAACTAATCCAAAGATTTAACCTCGCTGGTTAACTAGTTCACTAGTTACTAGCCGGTTCTAAGCCCGGGTAAAGATGAAAGGCTGGGCATAGGGATAGCAAACCTACCCTGGAAAACCAATCCAACTGCTAAAGAAATTTCACAGAAAAAACAAAATGATCTTCTGCACTCAGCATAAAGAACAAGATCAGGATTTTCAACAACAACTTTAGTCAAGTCACTGCTGCCATATCATTCAGAAACTTGGCGCGTTACCAAATGCATTTCCAACAAACCACAAACATTCATCAACAACTGACACCTACAAACACTCGATACTGAAGATGCAGATCGGATGGCCAGAATAATAGGAATAAACAACAAGGAACTCTGGCTGGCTGACTGGCTGGCAACGAACCAATGAAGCAAGAATCTACCACTCAACAAATATGCAGTGGAAGAAAGTCGAGATGGATTAGATTGGGCATACACTGAGAAGGTCGACTGGGGACATCACACACCAGGCCAGCAAGGCACTCGAGTGCAACCCAGATGTGCAACGACGAGTTGGACGTCCGAGGTGAGGGTGACATGGAGGAGATCGTTCGATGAAGAAATGAGAGTTTCTGGACTGTGATGGAGACAGGTTGAGGAGTTTTTTAGGGAACAGAGTGGAGTGGAGATGTGCTGCTGAAGCCCTATTTTCCATTAGGAACCCAAGGGAAAAATAATAATATTAATAATAACGTGTGGTTCGCTGTTTGTTGTCTACGGTGATTTTAACTCTTGTCCTTGCAGCTTTTTCGGTTCTCATGTTCGCAGTAACCTTGTCAATTCCTGAAGTCGTTTTGATGCTTTATTATACTTGGTTTTCGTTAATGAACGAGGTATATCTGAAACCCTGAAACGTGCACCACTGCCAGACACAGATCAAAGTGTTATACATCTGTCAAAAATACATGGACAACTACAGAAAAATGCCTTTATATACCAGTGTAAAAAGGCTATACACATGAGCACTATGCATAAACACAATGCTTCACTTGACCTTTTATATAAGGAAACTCACTGTCTGGCATAGCTTAGTCTGTACTCTTATGGTCAGTAATTCTTGTCTTTTGCCTATACCTACTTATTGTTGCCCCTAATTCTTTCCTGGACTACGTAAAAAAGACCATACTGTGTTGCATAGGATTTTGAAGGCTGTTAGTAGAGCAATGTGCTACAACACTAACTGTGCTGATAAGTGCGGTCGTGAATAGACATCTGAACTCTTGTAGACAGCTAGAAATATTTTATTGGATAGCAAGCATCCTCTGTATTTGCACCTATCGGTATTTATGTCCTCTGGGAAGTTAAGAAGCAAATATATTAAACTCGATTCACGCACAACTATATACCGAAATTCAACCATGCCCTATTTTACTTGTGTATTGTGTGAAAAAAATCATGTTGGACATAGTCTTATCACTGGCGGACAGATATCGTGTCCCTGAAGTCATTAGAAAATTCAACAATCCTGTTATTTATTGATATACTTGTTATTCTTCGTTGTTTTGTTGGATCGAATTGTTCGACCTCTGTTGGCATATGGGCTCCTATGCGAATACCTCAATATTGCCTGAATATTAATTATGATAATTTGGTTAGTTGCGACTAGCAGGAGAATCCAGGACGCGCGTTTAGTCCTATTTGGGACTCGTCAGCTGGATGTACTTACACTCCAATGAGTGGTGTTGTTCCCAATGAGACTCGAACCTCGTACCCATCACTTCAAACGCCAAGGCGTTGTCCACTATGACACGGAGAAACGATAACCACTTCTTGTACGATGGGTAGTAGTTATTACTTTTGCTAGCCACGACGAACCAAATTATCATAATCCTGTTATTCATAAAGCAGCACCGTTTTTAATATATATTCATATTTCGTAATAAAGCCAATATGTTATTATTATTATTATCAGTACTAAAATAATGCTACTTGATTTAGAGACGATTGACCCCTATGCTGATAGCTGACCATGATCAAGAATATGCGGATTTGAAAATGTGATATCTTTGAGTAGGACAGTTTCCTCACTGAAATGCTTTGTGCAATGTGTTCCCATTCATTGCTATTTTTTAAAATGATACTTTTTGTTGTATGACACGATACTGAGTAACTCTCGGTAGTGTGGAGTCTTCCAATCGTAGACAGGAATTAAACTATACTACCAGTTGTTTTCAACTCATTACTAGGTGTAAGGAGTCGACTGTTAACATGTTCCTAGCATGTGTTCAGTGACTGTTAGCATTATAGGGGAGGTGCATCTGTAACCTTATGAGATTTCAGTCTCTTTAGGTGATACTAACCAACACAATTTAGTTTTAATGGAGTTTGTTTGGTTCATAAGCCATCCATGATGTGTTTGACTTCCTGGAGAATTGGAGTGCAGAAAGGAGTTCACCAGTAGATAGTAGGTGTACAAAATGACTGAGTGTTGGATCCTTATACCTATCCTGGTTTATCAAATATGCTAGTAATGAATTTGGAGGTTTATAGAAGTTTACACAATGATTTAAGTATGCTACAGCTTAATGATGATTGATACAGCTTTGTTAATGCATTCAGTCTATAGACAAAAAAATGAAAAATCTAGTCTACTGTCAAAATTATTACTATTTTTTCTCAATTATTAACAATAGATAGTCATATTTTCACATATATCTATTTACAAGGGCAATCACAACAAAAGCATATTAACATTTAGTCAAGTAATTATGAGAGAAAATTCTCAAAAATGTTTTCATGTTTCACACCATAATATACATTGTTAAAATTGTTGAATATATGTTGGTCTTTAGTTGACAAACTTACCAGTTTTTTATGTAACCAAGGTAAAATGTCTCAATTATTTTTTTGGTTGAACAAGAAACATAATTCAAAGAAAAGCCTATTTTGTTTACAAATATATTTAGTTTCGGATATAGATTTACATCTCCACTAGAAGATCATAACGTTAATATGGATCATTTCAATTTATGTTTACAGTTAGAAAATAGGCTTCATTTAGTTGGATCATTGATGTGTTGACTGTAGTCATGAATGATTTACTTCTATCATTTGACAAACTGAAACACCAAGACACATTTCAGGCAGTGTACCTTGAGCAAATACACTAATCCAATAGACACTACTTATAAGACAGAAACAAACAGTTAGTAAGGTTTTTAATCCAGTTAAACAAAAGTGGATGGATAATTATTTACATTAAAATTATATACATTTTTGTATAATGTGTTAGGTAACTGATGATTTTGTGTAACTGTAGGCGGTAATAATGAATTGTCAATTAAATGTGATCGACATATATGACATTCTGGTTGGCTGAAATCAACACCTAAAAGATTGTTATTATTTGTTCGCCTTGAATTACGCCATCGTAAACCACGAAATGTACCATTGTTAACACCATTGCCTGATTCAGAACTTCCTGAGCATAAATAGTTATCGCCAAAATTATCCTATAAATGTGAACATGGAACAATGAAACAAACGTGCTATTATTGGAAATAATTTAATATTTTGCATTCCAAACACTCTTAAGTGTGCTTATCAATAAACTTAACCACTTTATAATCCATGTGATATTTATCCATCCGTTAATGATAATCCATATACTGTGATTTCTTTTCACAATATTAATACCTTGAAAATTATTAAGATTACGTAAAGCTTTCGAGAATCAACTAACTGGAAATTGTGGTGTTTATTTGTACTTCAGGATTTGGAAGTTCAGAGTGAGTTGTTCTCCGAACTTAACAAGAGGGTGAAGTTCTGAAGCAATGACGATGATATTCAACCTGTAATTGAAATTTTATTTCTCCTAGAACTTCAGCTCACAGAACCACTTACTCGAAAAGTCTACCAACTAAAAAGGTACTTATATTATTTTATTTGTCCCTTGGGTTCTTAATGGAAAATAGGGCTTCAGCAGCACATCTCCACTCCACTCTGTCCCCTGAAAAACTCCTCAACCTGTCTCCATCACAGTCCAGAAACTCTCATTTCTTCATCGAACGATCTCCTCCATGTCACCCTCACCTCGGACGTCCAACTCGTCGTTGCACATCTGGGTTGCACTCGAGTGCCTTGCTGGCCTGGTGTGTGATGTCCCCAGTCGACCTTCTCAGTGTATCCCAATCTAATCCATCTCGACTTTCTTCCACTGCATATTTGTTGAGTGGTAGATTCTTGCTTCATTGGTTCGTTGCCAGCCAGCCAGCCAGCCAGCAGCCAGTTCCTTGTTGTTTATTCCTATTATTCTCGCCATCCGATCTGCATCTTCAGTATCGAGTGTTCGTAGGTGTCAGTTGTTGATGAATGTTTGTGGTTTGTTGGAAATGCATTTGGTAACGCGCCAAGTTTCTGAATGATATGGCAGCAGTGACTTGACTAAAGTTGTTGTTGAAAATCCTGATCTTGTTCTTTATGCTGAGTGCAGAAGATCTCCATGCTGGTTTCAGATTAATGAACGCATATCTTGCTGTCTTTCCGATGCTAGCTTTGATGTCCTCGTCTGTGCTGCTTGTAGTTGAAACGATGTTGCCTGGATAAGTGAAGGAAGCTACTTCCTTTTCTTTTCCCCCATTTATGGTGATTAGTGCCTCTTGTTATTGATGCTGTTGTTGTTTGGGTATCTCCATCACCTCCATTTTCTCGACGTTCACTTGAAGTCCCCTCTTCGCTGCCCTGCCTTTTCTTTCAACCTGTTAGCTTTCACCTGTAGATCTTCAAGTTTGTGTGACATTAGACATAAAATCGTCGGCGAAATCCAAATCTTCTAGGCTGTTTTCACCGGTCAATCGTGCCCCCTCTTTTCGCTCCTCGCTTTTTGTTGCATGACCCAGTCGACCATAATCAAGATGATAATGGGTGATAGTAGACACCCTGTTTTACTCCTGTCCTCAATCCAAGGCGTCACTAAGCTTTTCATTGTGAATTAGTTGGCATGTGGCGTCGTTATATAGTTGTTGAATGAGATTGATAAAGGTTTGTGGTATTCCGTAGTGCTGAAGCAGTTGCCAAGTTACTTCTCGGTCGACGAAAAGGTACTTATAGTAATATAAAAATAAAACTTGAGCACTGAGGTAGAATATAATTCCATTTTAGGTGACTTATCAAGTTTATTACATAGTGGAACAGTATTCTGTTCATGTTAGTGACTAACAGAGCAATGCAGGCTGCGTGTTTCTTCGCACATCAAACTTGCCAGCTGGATGTACCTATCCCCAGTGAGTGTTTCGTTCCCACTGAGACGCGAATTAGGTACCTATTGCCACAAACATCATAGTGTAATACACTAAGCAACTCAGGCACTATAGTACCTCTTGTACAGTGGTTGTCAGTTGTTGTTTTTATACTTAAGACTTCCCGTCTCCATACAGCGCTGAGTTGCTCGACTGCTGCCGTTGGTATATGAGCTCCGATGCGGACGCCTAGATACGGCAGGATGTTCATGATGTTATATTCAATATTGCTTACTGGATTACGTTAGGACATAAGTTTTGGTCCATACTTGTATCAAAATGATTCTACAACTTTGAGACATGGTTTATGTAGTTTAATTCTCTCACATTCTTTGCCATATAGGTAGTACGATTCTCTATATATCCCAGATAGTCACTCCTGTTGCATGTGTTTGGTATCGATTCGATAAACAAAGATTCGATTATCAACTTTCCCCTCCACCCAACTCGGTTAGTTTCAGAGATTTTCACTCTGCCTCATTCTACTTTGTAGTCATAAGTAACTTCGTGCATAGTTATGGCTGAGCTCTTTCTGAATCCCCTATCTTATTAGGATCACCAATTTCATCTAGCTAGGTTTTTGTGTTCAGATGGCGTAATTGAACCTGGTCGACTAGTCTCACTTATGTATTTGATATCACAGTCATTGGAAGGGATTTGATAAGGTGAATTGTTCCACCGGAATGAATCAGTAGGATCTTTTAACCTCAGAAGTTGATTTCTAAGTGAGTTTGTAGGTTTGAATGCTACTGTAATTCAAGCCTTATTGAGAATCCTACATATTATCTCTGAGATGTCTTCATTGTAAGGTAATAGAGTAGTGGTTTTGAATTTTTTCTCTCATTATTGGTGCTATTATTAATAACTTTATTATTACTACTGTTATCACCTGTGCCCCACTACATGGTGTATTTAGTAATCAGGCAAAATGCATTTATATTATTCTGCTGGATATTTCTTGCTTGGTCTATTCAACTCTGTGTTGTATCTCAAGGGTGGATTCACGTCATTTATCTCCTTTATATGAAGAAGCAGATATGCTTAGTTTAGAGACTTGTTATTGTTCACTTTTGATTTTAAGTTTCATGACACTGTACAGTGAGAGACTGAATATGATTCAAGTAATGGTAGGCTGTTCAAAAATATGAAAACTACATTATATGACGATGACTTCTAAACAAAATTGAGCACAATACTTTACTTGAACTGTTACAGTGAATGAAACAGAGACATAAACCTACTCTTTTATTTCCTGACAGTCCCACTGTCTGAGTAAACCCCATAGGTCCTGGACTGTTGTTTGCAGTTGCACTAGTTTGTAATATAGGCAATCCTTGACAAACATGACCACTACCACCAGATAAACCACAGCTACTGTTACTACAGCAAACAGCAGTACCATTTGATGAAACAAATCCTGTACTTGTTCTCCCTGCTATACAACTGGCACATGAATCTGGACATGTTGTACAATTTCCACAACATCCATAACCTTGAACTGATACAGGTCCATTTATTCGTTCATTAATAGCAGTTGATTTATTCTGATTTAAACCAAAGGAGGATAAACGATCTAGTTGCTGATATTTTCGTCTAAGGAATCGACATACAAAACAATGATGAATCAAGACAAATAAGTAGATTAGACCGATTGAACTTGTACACAACAAGCACCATACATTAAGGAATCCAGCTGATTTTGAATTATCTAAATTTTGTCCATTCATCCATACCCAAAATGCAACAGAACATAAGAACAGAATTAATTGCATACAACTAAGATTTTGTGTACCAAGTTGATTTGTCCACAGTAAAGTGATTGAGATGAGTACAAGAAGGAGTGGAGGTAAACTGCCTTGAAATAATCTTCCACTTTGTGAAAAACAAATGTTGATTCCCAAACTTTGATCTGGGCCTATATAATTATAAAAAATATTCATGAATTATTTTAATAAATGAAGAAAAATTAGTAAAAAGAACTGGGAAATAAAATATTGAAAATTTTAACTTTACTTTTATCATTGTATCTATGATTGAGACAAACGGACGAATCAACTTAAAACATATCAGAAAAGTACAGCGGTTCAACTTACCTCACTTCACAACAGCAAACAAAGGACAAATGGATAGAAAAAGGAAAAAAAGGAGATATCAATGAAAATGTTCAAATTTTGATTTCAAAGAGGCGAAGCATCTGTAGTATTATCATCGATTTTCAGTTATATCACTTAATCCTCAACCATTCATTGTTGATGTCTTGAGGAATCCAACCAGACGGTTTACACATTTGTACATGGTTCATACCAACAGTCAACATCCTTATGGAGGAGTATAATCTTAGTCTGACCGCTATCTACTTCGATTAACATCTCAGGTCGTAGCTCGGCATACACAACACTGATTCAAACCAGTTCATTCGGGGAAAATTCATAAAATCATAGACTGACTTGGCTGTTTCGTTTCGTACCAATCGCCTAACTTGTACACTACTCACACAGTGACTTCAACTTACACAAGTACGACTGAGAAGATTCTCTTCTCTCTTAGATTCTTCAGCTCCTTCGGATGACTTGTCTCTTCAAGCAAGCGAGATAGTCAATATATTCTACCAATCCATTTCTTATTCATAAACTGGGAGCATCAGTTTATGTTTAGCAGCCGGAATATCGATCCTGAACATGCACAGACTTTACCTCAACGCGTTCAGGGTTTTCAGGTAACAGAATAATGTAACTTCCTGCTTCATGTCGGCTAGGTCCCCTTCTAGGAGTAAGTCAATTCCTGGGAAATATGAGATAACTAGGGTTTTGTTCATTGGTACGTCTATTACACATTTGAACAGGAATAGTGACACATCTCGTGACATGTGTGTGTGACTACGAGTAGAGAGGTTTGTGAGTGTTACATACTTGCTTAGTACTCTGTTTGCAATCAGACGGTGCTGCAGTACCTGACGATCGACAGAGTTAAGTGCCACATCTAGGTCAAGATAAACGGAAAGTTTCGCCCACCAGTAGGTGTGGCTATGTCGTAAAACTTCTGAAAGGGTGAAAATATTGTCGATGCACCTTTAGCCAGGTCTAAAACCCCCATGGTTTTCTTGGAGTTTTGTTCTAGAGCTTTATTTAGACATCGGATAATTATAGTCTAAGTATCTTAGATAAGACGTAAGTCAAACTGGCTCCCATTTCGGACTGACTAACTCTGATTTCCACACACTATTTATTGCCACCGTTGCTCTACTCAGCAGCTCTCTACTTTCATCTTAAGAACCTTCTGGTGGCAAACTTTCAGGTCATGCTCCTTTTTTGTCGCAGAGTTGAAACAGCCTTCATAAATAACTTCAAGGACGGTTAGAGGAGAAACATCTGCATCTCATTCAGGTTTAAGCTGGTTGCAAGCTGAGCAAGTGGAGCTTTACTGTTGACCAGTTAAACTGTTCTTCAAAGTACTCCGCCTAACATCCTAGCCGACTGTCCTGAGAAAGGCCATGCTCTAGTAAACTGTATGTAGTTAGTTGGGTGTTTAAAAATGTTTCGCATTTACTTATATGAATGTAGACTCAGTAAACGTCATGTCTACTGCAGAGTTTCTATTCAATACTAGGACTACGCAACATTGATTAGTTGACTGAACAGTCAAAATTTAAGTGAATGAATAGTTTTCCAAATGTGTTGCAGACCTCACTGTCAGTATTCATATTTCTAATAGAATTACGAATGGGTACTTTCTTGAATATAGGAAATATAGTCTGAATGAGAGTGAATTACTGTCTTAACTAATTTTTTAGTGTATGATGCTGTATGATATTATGTTTCGGATATTCTTTAAATCTATCCATGTCTTGACTCCAATCACCATCAACGGGAGAAACTTGAAGGAAGTAGTCTCTTTCACCTACCCACCTAGGGAGCACTGTCTCTACTACAAGCAGCACAGACGAGGATGTCAAAGTCAGACGTCAGGCGTTCATTACCCTGACACCAGCGTAGAGATCTACTGCAGACAGCATAAAGCATGAACAACATCTCGATTTTCAACACCAATGTCAAGTCAGTGCTCCTATATGATTGAGAGACTTGGCGTAATATGAAAGACATTTCCGAGGAACTGCAGACGTTCATCAACAACTGCCACCTACACTGGCTCGTTACTGAAGCTCAGATGGCCAGAATAATAAAAATAAGCAACAAGGAACTCTGGGAAAGAAACAACGAAGCAAGAACCTATCGCTCAACAAATATGCAATGGGAGGAAGTGAAGATGGATTGGATGTGGCATACACTGAGAAGGTCAACTGGGGACATCACGCATCAGGCCATTCGCTCGAGTGGAACCCCGATGGGAAACGACGAATTAGGCATCCGAAGCAACGGTGAAATGGAGGAGATTGTGCGAGAAGGAAATGAGAGCTTGTAGGTTGTGGTGGAGCCAGGTTCAAAAGATTTCAGAGAACAGAGCGCATTGGAGAAGTGCTACTGAAGCCCTATTTTCCATTAGGAACCCAAGGGACAAATAATCATATATACATATCTTGACTTCTGTTAACCATTACATTACATCAGAAATCGTATTCACCAAGATCCATTATAAAGTGTTAATAATTTGGTGATTCAATACAAATTGAAACATAACTAGTCTATAGAGATTAAGCAAAGATTAAAGAACTTACCAGATTTATCAATATGCTCATCATATCGCTTTGTAACGCTCAAATAAGACGATTTCTTTTGTACATCACTTGAAATGAGGCAACATTTTCGTTCAGTCCACTTAATAACTGGTTGAGTTTTCATAAAACCCTCTATAGGTGAATGAAATAAAAGTGTGGTATACATTTTAACTCGAAACGAATGATATATATATTCAGTGTTACTATTTCTTTCATAGACAACAAACAGACAACATATTGATAATAGTATGCGTAAACTAGACTCATAGATAGTAAGTAAAAAAGCTTTTGAAATCCGGGTTGGGTGATTGTTTCTTCTAGAGAAATAAGTTAGTACGAATAGAATGAACTAGTTGAATATAATAGACTGAAAATTTCGCTTTTGCTATTTTGCGTGTTTTAGTATTCCAGTGGAATATTAGATTATTCTTGTTGTTATCATTATAGTGACATTTTTCTATGATAAGTTTTTCCACAATAGCCTCTATGTCTGCATTGTCTTCTTTTTAGACCAATATCGCTTGAGACATATCAATTGAATGAATTCACATTTGAAGTAGACATTTTGTAATATGATTAATTTACTTTTTAAGGCAAATAAATACAATTTTTATTCTCACTGATTTTTAGTATGCTTTTACATTGCTGACAGGCCTACCTACATTCAAGTGAAACTGTGACTATACTGTTACAAGTCAGCCATTCCTTTTAGGTATGTTAGGGTATACTGCTATTAAAAGAAAAAGAAATAAGTAGAAGCTAAAATGGTAACTTTAGTTAGTTTTAAGTGGAATGCTTTTGAATGACTTCGGCTTTGTAATGTCGATTGATAGAATATTTAAAATTGAACTCCAGTTATACTAATTAGGAGCTTTATGTGTTTTAATGTAAATAAATTATAACCGAATGTATACAGTTCCTACTTATTATGTGGAAGAAAACCTGCATAACCGTATTAAGAAGGAAGAAGAAAGAAGATAAGGAATGGATCTCGATGGACACATGGAAGCTGATAGAGCAGGGAGAGGAGGATGGTGAAGTAGAAGATAAACCAGTGAGGGATAAAAGACGAGAAGAGGAACTGAGTACAATGTATAAAACACTAGATAAAGAAGGGAAGAAGAGTGCATGGAAAGACAAAAGACACTTCCATGACACACTGGCAAGTGAAGCAGAACAGGATGCAGGTAGGAGAGACCTGACAACATTGTATCAAACAACCAGGTTACTTTCTGGGAAGAGATCAACACAGATGAAACCAATAAAAGATGGTGAAGGAAATCTAGTTACCAAAGAAGAAAAACAAAGGAAACGAAGGGGGACCACTTCAAGAAGCTCTTGAATCGACCACCACCACCTGCACTTCGTCCACAAATACCATCTACAGCCCAGCCACAGAACTACAAGTGAACACAAGCCCTCTGACGAAAGTCGAAGTCCTGAGCACCATAAGGCAACTGAAGTGCGGGAAACCAGCAGGACCAGATGAAATCCCGCCAGAAGCACTGAGAGCAGACGCAGGAACAACAGCGGACATGTTCACACCACTACTGCAGAAGGTTTGAAAAGAAGGAAAGGTACCTAGCGATTGGAAGAAGGGTTACCTTGTCAAATTCCCGGAAAAGGGAGACCTAAACGTTTACAAGAATTGCCGTAAGATCATGCTCCAACTATGTCCACTGCAAGCAAAATATTACGCCTCATCATCTTGGAGAGACTAAAGGATGCGCTGGATTCAAAACTACGACCGGAACAAACTGACTTGATTCAGGAAGTACAAATCATATGTGGACCAAATTGCAACGCTACACTACGCATCATCATAGAACAGAGCATAGAATGGGAGTCAACTCCTACTTCAACCTCAACTTCATCGACTTTGAAAGCGCTTTCGATAGCGTCGATCGAGAAATAATTTGGCAGGCAGTTGCTCCAACACTACGGAATACCACAAACCTTTATCAATCTCATTCAACAACTATATGAAGACGCAGCATGCCAAGTAATTCATAATGGGAAGCTCAGTGATGCCTTTGAAGTGAAGACAAGAGTGAGACGTGTCTGCCTACTATCAGCTATGATCTACTAGATTGTGGTGGAGTGGATCATGCAGCAAACCGTGAGGAGCAAGAAGAGGGCCATACGCTCTCTGGACCGATGAAAAGATCCTAGAAGAATTGGATTTCACCGATGACTATTGTATAATGTCACGCAAACTCGGAGATCTACAGGCAAAAACTAACAAGTTGACAGAAGAGGGGAGGTAGCGAAGACGGAACTTCAAGTGAACGTAAAAAAGACAGACGTGATGATGATACATAACCAACAGCAAAAACAAACACCAATCACCATCAACAGGAGAAACTTAAAGTAAGTAGTCTCTTTTACCTACCCACATAGGCAGGCAGCATCGTTTCAACTAAAGGCGGCACAGACACAGACGAGGATGTCAAAACCAGGATCGGAAAAGCAAGAAAGGCCTTCAATTATTTTAAACCACTGTGGAGATCTACTGCACTCCACTCAGCATAAAACGTGAACACCATTCCGATTTTCAACACCAGTGTCAAGTCAGTGCTGCTATATGGTTCAGAAACTTGGCGCATCACGAAAAGCACTTTCAACAAAATGCAGACATTCATCAACAACTGCCCCCTACGCTGGTTCGTTACTGAAGATGGAGATCAGATGGCCAGAATAATAAAAATAAGCAACGAGGAACTGTGACTAGCAACGAACCAACGAAGCAAGAACCTATAACTCAACAACTAAGCAGTGGAAGAAAGTGGGATGGATTGGATGTGGCATACACTGAGAAGGTCGACTGGGGACATCACACACTAGGCCATCCAGGACGTCGAGTAGGACCCAGATGGGCAACGAAGAGTTAGGGGTCGGAGGCGGAGGTGAAACGGACGAGGTGTGAGGAAGAAATGAGAGCTTATGGGTAGGTTGAAAAGATTTCAGAGAAGAGAGTGATATGGAGACGTGCTGCTGAAGCTCTATGTTCCACTAGGAACCCAAGGGACATGTAATAATAATAATAATTATAATAATAACGATGGTAATAATAATAATATAACAAGTTACATGATGGGTTTTCACTCCTCCTCAGGAGTTTTATTTAATAAGGGTTACTTATCCTGTTAGGTGGGTTCACTCATTTTTCCGTTCAGTCTCCTTTCTGATGCTAGTAGAAGATATGAAGCGGCTGCAAGTCCTACATCACAGGTATCTTTGTAGCATTGCTTGTGTATAGTGGATTCACCATGTGAAGAATGTAGAGGTCAGGAGGTGACTGTGACATATGCTGTGCATACCGAGCCACCACCTACCTAGACATGCAGTTCTAGCAGAAGTTGGATTACGTTGGAAAAGAGCACAGGATGGTCAGACTGAAACAAGACACGAGTCCGTGAAATCTCAAATTGTTGTTCTGAGCCATTTATGGAGGTTTAGACTCCGTGACTAATGGGCCCAAGACCGTAGGAACCAATATTTGAAGATTAGGTGACACAGTTTAGAGTCGGTCACACTTTAACATCTTCAGAAGCTTGAATGGTTTAAATAACTCTAATTTTAACATTCCCACCCCTTACATACACCTTTGTCTACATGCTTTGATACCAATCTTTCCTGTTTACTTGTTTTTATGTCTTACTGTAAACTGTAGCAACTTGAGGTGATGTACTTGTGTGTAAATTTCTATGTTGCTTTCATTGGTCTATCTGCCTAGTAAGTCATGTAGCATGTTTATCATTTTTTCCAAATTGCATAAAATAGGATATTTGGTTATCCTAATTTTGCACTATAAAATCCCCTAAAATATGACAGTCTAGATTGATGAAGTTGTTCCTACCAATGTTTTTATGGGTAGATTTTAGAAGAAATGACAATAACACTGTGTCAAGTTGTTATTCATCGTAGACTAACATCAGTTGGAGGGACGAAGGAAACCTGAGAGAACTAGACGGCTATTTCATCCTAGTATCGGACTCCTCAGCAGTGCACACCCACGACCCCGCCAGCCAGGGATCGAACCCGCGACCTTCAGGTTCCGTGGCCAGCACGTTACCATTCAGTCATTAGGTCAGAATCCAATGGTCCATATTTCCAACTTCTGTTAGCTCACAATATAGCGCAGGTTTCCTTTGTTCCTCCAACTGATGTCAGTCTACGATAAATAACAACTTGAAATATTCCCAAATCCCCACAACTCCCTTAAAATAATACTATATATAAAAACGATAATGACTATGGTTTTTAAACGACAATGTTCGTTACTTATCGATGCATACTTAAATAATAAATTTCACAGAACCTGGGTGAAGTAGTATTTTTTTGTTAAATCAACGTAATTTAGTAGATGATCAATAAATTAGAACAATAACAGAGGTTTCTTTGGTGAAACGGAGTATATTTATGGTTGTTAATAAATAGGAAAAGTGCTGTCTCATTGCTCACGTAGACAGTATCTAAAATAATATTATATCTCATTGGAAATCGACAAATTATCTCGGACTTTCTTGTGTCTTTGTATGCCTTTGAGCTGTAAACACACAAAGCAGCATGTTATGACTGTAGGTAAAGTGATCCTTTAATGTTTCATATTGAATACCGTTTTATGAATCAGCTAAAAGACATACATTACTGTGAAACAAATGAATTAGTGCGTCCTTTAGTGCAGCAAACGATTTCGTTCCTTCAAGGTTCATCTTATACAAAACCATGTGATAACTAAAAGTGGTCATATATTACTTTATATTTCTGACAGAATAATGGTGATGACACAAGGATTCATATTGAGATGAATCTCAAAATTCTTGTTACATCCACCTATCATGAAATTATCAAGAGGAACTAATCACATAACATCGCGGTTATTTCATGAAATAGCTGAATAAAAGAATTGGCATTTGACTATCTGAGATAGCCATAGTTTGGCAGACTAGTGTTTTTACTCGTGGTTGCTGGCTCGAGTCCGGCCGTGGTCCAGATTTTCATATCACCTTCAATCATCACCCAGTGCATATACTAGTCTGCCAAACTACGTCTATCTCAGATAGTCAAATGATAATCAATACTATGTTCCCCGTCTCTGATTCACTTACATTTGGATTGGGATGAGAAGTGCTGACTAGGTAGCCAGTGTGAATACGATCAAGCAGTAGGAAAGCATCATGAATTCACATGGTAGTCAAGTAAAACCCTTAGTGACTGAAGTGAAATAAAATGCTAGTCAGCTGTCAGATTTTGTGTCTGAGTTGATAGAGTACCGGGCCGGTAACCTGGTGGTTGCTAGTTGGAATCCGGCCGCAGTTCAGATTTTCATCTCACCTTCAATAAGCACCCAGTACGGAAGAATTTGCGTTAATGTGCTTAATGCAGTAAAACGATATTTTCCAAAGAGTAAACTAGTGATTGAAGTCTAATGATAGTTACACTAAGCAAACAATGTATAAACGTTGTACTGTGTTCATTTTCCTTCCGGCACTTGTTACTTTCAAAGCCTCAAATGGTAAAGTATTACCAGTTACCTCTTTCACTATTCTAATTTTAAAACGGTAAGATGCAAATGTCTGCTGAACTCCATGAAAAAAAGGTTTAAGCAGAAACTTACAAAGAAGGTTGGGTACACTGACATAGTTTTTAAATCTATCCAGTGGATTGTGATGGGACATGAATAAAATGAAAGTGTTTAATCCTAAATTACTTCGCTTAGTTGAAATTACGATTCATCAGTGGTCACAGATGAATCATTGTTTCATAGTTCATCTGCGGTCATCCAATTATACGACTTCCAGTTGAATTTAAGATCTTTATACAAACACGTAGGAAGTTGAAGATTGATCAACACTTGTTTTAAATCTTGGATTCCAACAGCTTTTTTAAGTTTTTGAAGCGAAATTAGCCAAATGTTACAGCCTTCCTCATGTGCCCGCTTAGGCATTTAAAAATAGATAAGCATGTATAGTGTGTTTCTAAAGGAAAGCATTATCCGTCAATCCAGACATCTCACCGCATATGCAGACATTTGTTTTGTCAGGCTGTTTTTAGTCTGTGTTTATTTTCATCAGAAACCTGCTCAAGATGGTCTGCTTTCAGTCTTCCTCAACTTGTTTTAAGGAACTCTTTATATAACAGTGGCAATCTACTGAAATATCTACAATATTACAGTTAAAGTACTCGACTCCATACAAATGGAAGAAATATATTGCTTATTTAGAAAGTTAAGTAGGGATTGAAATTTACGCAGTGTAATATGAAGATTTAGAACACATATTTACTGAAACAAAAGGCGATGAGCGTAAAAACTCTCCTGTATCCAACCAACATTGAACCCACATATGGAAGAACTAAAAACACCATTATAATAAATGATAACATACTGACTATACACACTTCACCATTTCTTGGCAGATCAGTATTGCATAGATTATCACAATAAATATCAAAGAGTAAGTATACAAACTTTCTCTACCTTGTTTTATCCATATTGGACAGACGATCGCACCAATGTGATGAAATTTTTTTGGCTCTTGACAAGCAACTTCCACAACCATACTTTAGGTAGAAATAAAAAATGATTTACAATGAAAAAAAATTATTATTATCATTGAAATATAATTTATATGTAACATATGTTTATGTCATGAAGATTTCATGCCAAAGAATTTAAAGTATCCACAAATAATTGATGTTCAATTCAGATTAAATTTTGATGATATGCGAAGGACTCAATGAAAAATTTATCATTACTTATGATAAATTGGTTGGTTGTGGCTAGCAGAATAATCCAGGATGCGCGTTTAGTCCTATTTGGAACTCATCAGCTGGATGTACCTGCACCCTAGTGATATTGTTCCCACTGGGACTCGAATCTCGTACCCACCACTTCAAAAAATGCCAAGGCGCTAGCCACTATATCACGGAGGAACGATAGCCACTACAACGGGTAGTAGTTATCACCATTCATTGACATGCTTGTTATTCTCCATTGTTTTGTTTGGTCGAATTGTTCGACCTCTATTGGCATATGGGCAATATCGAGGTATCCGCATAGGAGCCCATATGCCAATAGAGGTCGAACAATTCGATCCAACAAAACAACGAAGAATAACAGGTACATCAATAAATAGTAATTTACCGTTACTCATTGGAAGCTGTTTTCACTATGTTCGGTTTTCCATAAAATGCTTGTAAAACCACATCAGATTCTATAGAACGTAGTGGAAATGTATCATTCAGTGAATATTGTATTGTTGTGTTGAAAACCAAATCAGCAATCTGATTAGGAATTATACTGTAAGACAGTGCTCAAGTTTTACCCTTACGTTAGTAAATCAACATTAACAGTGAAGACTGCAAATAGTTAAAAGAAAATTGGTGTATAAAAAAGAATTCACTGTGTATCAAACTATCTATCTACATATGAACTAGGGTGTTGTTTAAGTTGGTTTTCATCATGAAATGATAGCTACTGGAGGAACATTGGAAATCTAGGAGCACTGGACAGCTGCTTTGTCTTAGTATGGGGCTCTTCAGCAGTGCTCATCCACGATCCCATCAGGGAACCTTCAGGTTCCATGACTAGCACGTTACCATCGAGCCACTGGGTCGGAATCCAGTCATCACTCAATGTCACTGTTGAGTATCTGTCTTTTGTTATCATTTTCATGTTTATCTTTGTGCTTTTCTAATTCAATTAGTTGCTGACTTAACGTTTTAGCTGTCTATACATCTTTCAGTCATCAAATAGTTGCTTGTTGAAAGCTATATTCTAATGCAACAACTGATATAATTATCCCTCAACATTCATACTAAAAGACAAGACGTGGTTTCAGCTGAAGCATTAGCCATCCAGAAGTTCAAACCAGCGTTATGCGTGCAAAAAAGGTATGTCCAATCTTTATCTTTGCCATAGCCATCATAAAGCTCTATCGGCCACAGATTCATTTTGTATCAGATTGAACCTATATTACGCAATTACTATCTTAGTTTCATGGTCGCCTGTTTATTCTCATACTCTGTCATAGGTTTATACGGTATTACATAATCACAATTTTATCTCCATAACCCTTCGTTCAGTTTCCTACTTTGCCATACATTCATCCCGTATTACTAAATTACATTTAATTTCATAATCCCCTGTCTATTTTCCCACTGTAAACACAAATGTGTATTAATTAACTTTCTTTCATCATTCAATATATTTTGCCCCATGACCGGAAACAATTCTGGAACATTCTACCCACTGTAGCATATATTGATGAATGTATAGGCTTAGTAGTAAATGACTTTGTCGAAAAGAAAAATTTTTCTTCGCTGAAATCACATCTTGTCTTTTCCTATGATCAAATGGGTGTATTCGGTTATTTAAAGCCATATTACTGATATAGACTATATCTCACAAATTTTTATTCACTGATTTCTTATATAATATCTATGATGTCAGTTTCGTTAAGTACAATAATGTTCAGGTATAATTTAGTTGACTTTTCATAAGAGCAAGTATTCACTGATTCGGATATACGTCAATCAATCACATAAAGAAAATAAGTTTTATTATTGTCTTTACTAATGTTTTAGTCGCATGATTAGGTTGTGTTCAAGTTATAATTCTTCTTCAAATATATTCTCTTTCTTTAGTTGAATTATTTTTTTTTTGGAGGTAAATCTCTCGTATTCGCTGAATTAAGGTCACGAAAACTATTTTAATTAAGAAGTTATATATATTTGATAAACACAATCTATCAGGTATACGCAACTATTATCTACTTGGTACAGTTTGGGTCACATGAGGACAATAGCCAGTGATGATTTAATGAGATAAATAATTTGTAAGATTATTAGTAAATCTTGTTTCTATGATGCCATGACAGTCTATAAAGTGCAATGGATTGATTTCTAACCTGTTCGACAATAGAAAATGATTAGAAGTCTATTAGAATATAGAAAATAGTTATATCTTCGAATAAATTCATTCATTTTATGATTAGTAAGTTTTTTGACTAGATAAAATTAGTTTATAAAAGCTTACACTATCTGAATAGTGACACAGACAGCAGTAACAGGTCGAAATCGTTTGATTCCTTACAGCTACAACTATGAAATTGGAAACATTTTTAATGAAATGTTTTTTCATGAATATAACAGTTAAACTTGGATACTGTGGTTGATTGTTATTCTATTTTAGTCTTTATATTAAAATTATTAAATAGTGGAAGAGTATCATTTACTAGATAGCAACGTTTAAGACACGATTTATTGTCCATATTCATATCAGGTAACAACAACAACAACAACAACAACCTTAAGACATGGTTTATATAGCTCTTTTTATTTCTCCTTTTCTATACATCTGAACTGCAACATTAAGTAAAAATAAGATGGAAGTTTAGTGTTTATAGAAAACTTTTTCATTAAAGTCGCTACTTAGAACTCAAATCATCTGAACCCATCTCAGTTAAAGTAATCTAAAGTAGGCATATAAAGAATACCTTGTATCTCACTAATTATTCATCTCTGTGTTACCATATAAAGAAAGCGCCTCAGAAATATTACTAGGAATTCTCAGTAAGGCTGACTAGGATTAAAACGGCTAACATTTAAATCAATAAACTCGATTAGAAACAAGCTTTGTAGGTTAAAAGATCCTATCAATGCAATTAAGCAACATAATCTGGTTTACCAAATCCCTTGCAATGACTGCGACGTCAAATACATAAGTCAAAGTATAATCGACCAGGGTTGATTAGAATAACAGAGCACAAAAACTTAGCTAAATCAAGAAGTTCAGAGAAAAGCTCAGCTATGGATCTCCACGCAATTGCACACAACCACACAGTAGAGTAGGATAAAGCGACATTGTTGAAAACTAACTTAGTTGGGTGGAGGGAGAGAGATTGAAAACCGACTGAATTTTTGTTGAGTGAATGAACACCAAATACCTGGAGTAATAGAAATGATTCTGCATCTGTCCTAGATACATGAAAAATTCTACTACCCTTATCATCACAAAGAAGAAGAGAAAATTAGGAATATGTAAACTCTATGTTAAAGTATTGGAGTTACCTGAAAATGAATGCGGACAATAAATTATGTCCGAAACGTTATCCAGTAAATAATACTGTTGGTTCACAGTGTGAAATTTTTAATAAAGAGACTAAAATCAAACTTCCTTTTTCGCTAGAATTCGGTCACCACTCAGGACTAGATAGTATGATATGAACTGTTTTTCAGTGATCAGTCAGTCTATCTAATCCACTCCCTAAGAATGTCAGTCATGGTCCGGATAGCTCACTGTTTACATCTCTAACTATAACAGAAGGTGGCATGGATTCAATTCTCAGAGGAGATATGAGTTCCTTCATGATTGCAGATACATCTTGCTGACAAGTGGTAATAAGCATAAAATTTAGGTTGACCAGAGCTACCTGTCGATTACTTCCACACAACTAGCATCTACTACTCTACGAAATCTAATAAAAAAGTCATACTAACTGAACAAAAGCAAGATTTCAATGAATATATAAAGGATATCAAGTTGTGTAGCCATGTCTAATCAGAGTTTGATGAAATAGATTTCGATTGCGAAACTGTTACTATTATCAATGAGCTTCCAATTTTTAGATCATTAATTTAACAAGTTCATATGTAATGAGATTCTTCACAATGTACAGCGTCAATAGAGAGCATTTTTTAGATAAACTTCCTTTGTTACAACCTCTAATATATATTATATATTAAGGAGGTTGCCTCTTTAAATCTTCATTACACTTGTTTCATGCCATAAAGGCAATAAGAAAGTTCTGAGAGTTAATAACATGTATGTATGTATGTATGTATGTATGTATGTATGTATGTATGTATGTATGTATGTATGTAAGTATGTATGTATGTATGTATGTATGTATGTATGTATGTATGTATGTATGTATGTATGTATGTATGTATGTATGTATGTATGTATGTATGTATGTATGTATGTATGTATGTATGTATGTATGGTGTTAATTATAACTCATCCAGTCCTGTTTAAGTCATCTTCATAGGTTCTTTTCATATTTCTGAACAAGCTATCAACCTACCTGAACCAAATTACCCTCTCTAGTGAACTTTACACTCAATCTGTAACGTTATCTTCGTAATATTTAGTGTTATGCAGCATCAACAACATGGTAAATAGATAAAGAGAGTATCTTGAATAAGTCGTCTCCAACCTGATTGATTGTCCTCAGAGTTTCCCGTTGCTAAAGTTTAGTTGAACCATAATAGTTTTAATGTAATTCAAGTGCATTTAGACAGTTAAAACATTTTGAAAGTTTCACTTTATAAGCCATAACATCACGAGGATATTTTTTGCACATATCTTTACTTTCATAATGATTAAATCAGACTTGGCCCTCGAGTACTGCCAGGACAATCGCAATTTATTATTATTATTCCTCTGGGTTCCTAGTGGAACAAAGGGCTTCAGTAGCACGTCTCCATACCACTCTGTTCTCTTAAACCTTTTCAACCTGGCTCCACGACTCCCCAAAAGCTTTCATCTCTTCCTCACACCATCTCCTCCATATCACCCTCGCCTCCAACGCCCAACTCATCGTTTCCCCTTTGCATTACACTCGAGCAACTGACCGGACGCGTGATGTCCCCAATCGGTCTTCTCAGTGCATTGAGTGAGCTGGATCCTGCTGTCATGAACCTGCAGGAGGAAACTGGTTCTCACTGCATGAGAGCCTTCGATGTTCTTGGAGACATCATGATAGCTACTCGAAAACTCAGTGTGCTCATTGTTGTCGAAATAGATTATTGACTCTTCAGTTGACTTTTTGGAGAGTCCACTTCCATTCCGTCTGCTTTCGCAGGTTCCAAGCACTTTCATGCCATATCTCCTCATCTCTTTCGCAATCTGGGCAGCCTTGCCAGGTTCGTACATGGTGCGGACATTCCATGTCCCCATTCTCACTCTCACTTTAATCGAGGGAGAGGAGACACATCAGCCGACTGGCTTTTCGAAGGCTTTCACCAACCGGCGTCATTTCGACTCTCCAATTCCAGCGGGGAATAATTTTGTTTTTATTTTTATAATTTTTTTGTGCTTTGAAGTTTGTTTAGCGATTGGATATGTTTTACGAAGAAGGGTTGCTAGCTCTATGTCCAACCTTCCCTCTTTACCCGGGCATAGGATTGGCTATTAACTAGTGAACTAGTTAACCAGGCGAGGATATTCCGGACATCTACACCAATACATACATGTGAAATATAAGCGTATATACGTGAAACATTATCCCAAATTTTGATTTATTTTCACTGCCTTTAAACAATTCAGTTATTTCAAGTTGTTATTCATCGAAGACTGACATCAGTTGGAGGAACAAAGGAAACCTGGGAGCACTGGACAACTGTTTCGTCCTAGTATGGGACTCCTCAGCAGTGCGCACCCACGACCCCACCAGCAGGGATCGAACCCGCGACCTTCAGGCTCCGCGACCAGCGCGTTACCATTGAGCCACTGGGTCAGAATCCAATGCTCCATATTTCCAACTTCTGTTAGCTCACGATATAGCGCAAACCGCCACCCAATGTCATCGTTGAGTATTTGTCCTCATGGCCATCAGGCTTGACTCCACCGGTCACGACTTGTCATTGGAACTTCGGGAATACTTCTCGAAGCTAGTAACCAACGAGCACTAGTTCAATTAAATTTTGAGGGGGTTGTGGAGATTTGGAAATATTTCAAGTTGTTATTCATCGAAGACTGACATCAGTTGGAGGAACAAAGGAAACCTGGGAGGACTGGACAGCTGTTTCGTCCTAGTATGGGACTCCTCAGCAGTGCGCACCCACGAAACAGCTGTCCAGTGCTCCCAGGTTTCCTTTGTTCCTCCAACTGATGTCAGTCTTCGATGAATAACAACTTGAAATATTTCCAAATCTCCACAACCCCCTCAAAATTTAATTCAGTTATTTCTGTTTTTCCATCACCACATTGTTCATAACTGCAATATAATGTTAGAATTAATAACAGCTGCAAAAAACGGCCCATTATAGACACAGATAAGCCTTGCATGATATATCTTGAAACATAAGTACGAAAACCAAATTAGAACACTTAGTAAAATACTTCATATATATATATATATATATATATATATATATATATCAGTACGAACCTTTCAGTAAATGCAAAATTTTGCACATCTCCTTCTGGAACAACTTTTAAGGTTTTGCCACGATTATGAGAACGAATTGATTGCACTGTCGATTCATTAGGTAGTCCACGAGAAGCAAAACCAGGTTGTGGTCGATTCAATGAATTTGTTGGATTGGTAGACTTTGGGAGTCCATTACTTCCAGTATATGAATTGCGTAACTCTAAACGTTGATGAAAACGATCATGTTTGAACGCACCTTTGATAACAAGTTGTGGATGCCACACTCTATCAACATCAAGTCGAACCCCTCCGCCAACCATATCGATTAGACTGCTTTCAGCTACTCGTGAATCAGTAACCGGCCATTCAGCAAATAATGTAAGACTTGCACGGCATATCTAAAGCAAAATGGTATAGATTGAAAAAATGAATGCACTGAAAAGAAATTTCTGAAAACATTTAAACCGAGTATCACAGATTTAAATGCATTTCTATCGAAGCTAATCACATATTCTTTTCTGTCGACAACATCAGCCTTGCAATCCACTCTAATGTGGAGGTAAACAAATGAGTGAACTAATGATATAGATGACCACATAATGCTGAGCAGCAAAATTTCATTTAGTTGCATCGTTCATCTGAAGTTTCTAAAGCAACTAGAGATTAGGGTTATTTTTTTCAGCAGTTTAGAATACCTATTTTGGTTTTTTATGGTTTCTACCAACCATTTACTAAATTTACGAGGATTCGCATTAATTTGTTCTAGCTGTTCTTTATGGTGTCCAAGATTAGAACGATATCAGTGGTGAACACCATGCTTTTTCTCCCTTTTCTATTTACTTATTTAACGTTAAGTACCATTCTTATTCTTCGAGTCACTGAATATTGGTGTGAAACTAAAGTGAGGTTGAGAATCTCCAGTACGATTCGAAGGATAAAGATGAACAATTATCTTAAATTTTAACCGATGTAGTTTGAAAATAAACATAATGAAAGGGATTTATCAATACTTTAACTTCAGATTCCGCTTGAAGACACTTATTCTCAAGCGTGGTTGTTCAGTAATTCTTATCTAACGATTTAGAAAAGCTGATATTATTTTACGTTCACAGTGTCTCCTATTGCTGATTTTACCTCGATTTGCTGGTATCCTATATAAGCAATTACTTCAGAACTAATTTTGCCGATTCAGAAAGAATAAGCAATAAGGAACTGTGACTGGTAACGAACCAACGAAGCAAGAACCTATCACTCAACAAATATGCAGTGGAAGAAAGTGGAGATGCATGGGATCGAGCATACACTGAGAAGACCGACTGGGGACATCACGCGTCCGGTCAGTTGCTCGAGTGTAATGCAAAGGGGAAACGATGAGTTGGGCGTTGGAGGCGAGGGTGATATGGAGGAGATGTTGTGAGGAAGAGATGAAAGCTTTTGGGGAGTCGTGGAGCCAGGTTGAAAAGGTTTAAGAGAACAGAGTGGTATGGAGACGTGCTACTGAAGCCCTTTGTTCCACTAGGAACCCAAGGAAAAAATAATATATAGTAATAATAATCTTGCGATTTCTGAGTCTTTCAGTAATACTATTTGGGTAAAAGTGAATTAATTCACTGTAGAGGATTTTCGGGTTAAGTAACAAATGCAGTATTGAACATTGAGCAACATGAATTGAAGAATTACTGAGAACCTTTTCTGGAAATTATCAGCGATGCGCACACACAACTCCTCCAGGAATCAAATTAAGTCTTTTATAGAAAGAAATGCTTCGCAAATATATTCAGCACTAACGCGTTCTGTTTCTTCGCAGTTCGTTATTCAGATAATAAGTTACAAAAACCTTAAATTAGTAACAAGATAGGGACGTCGTAGCTCAATTGGTAGAATGCCTGGTCAGAAACCCAGTGGTAGCTGGTTCTAACCCTGCCATAGCCCAAAGTTTCATTTCACCTTCAGGCATCACTAAGTATCAATACAAATCCGCCAAACCACGATTATCTCAGACAGCCAAAATGATAAACAGTAGATGCATTTTGGGCGATAAGTGGAGAATGCAGATTTAAAGCTTATACTTTTGCATTGTAGATTTATGAGATACAACTCTATACATTTATGTCAGTCAACATTCTTTCTTTGATTAAATCAGATTACTGACATCGATAGAAGAGAAAACGTAGATACTGAACAACTGTGTACACTTGGTTTAGTATCTAAAATAAATTATGGATGTATTACAATTGATATTCGTTGTCATAGCATTTTTAGCTCCTAATGAATGTTAAGCAAAACAAGTTTAAATCCCCCTTCATCCTACCTATATCTGAGTAGCCATGTAGTATCGTTAGCTGCCACATAGCAGATATGATCCATTGCCTACTGCACAAGTTTACACGTAAAATTTCGTTTGGTTTCCTAGAAATATTTGCCTTTTTTTCTTGAATTCATGTAGCGTAGTTTTGTTCAGGTGAAGCTTTTATCCCCTAAGATGTATAACTAATGATTGGCTACACATCCTAGTTAATTTGCATTATATTTTATGAATAAATATTTATATTGGGTGACGTTTGAAGATGAAATGAAAATTTAGACTGCAACTGCATTCGAACCAATGACCACCGAGTTTCCTGCTCTATGCTGCACCAATTTGACCTCGTAGCGCACTTGATACAGCACCTGGTTGGTAACCCAGTGATCACTGGTTTGAATCAGGCCACGGTTCAAATTTTCATTTCACTTTCAATCATCACCCAGTATAATTACTAGTCTACCAAACTACGGCTCAGATAGTCAAAATGAGAATAAACATTTAACAATGAAAGCCACTTGGAAATTTTTTTACGCCTTTACAAAACAATTTTATTTACTTGTATTAAAAAGTTAAACAGAGAAACAGGTGACATTATGAAAGTCAGTCAAAGAATGAGACTGAACAACAACTTTTATTATTATTATTATAAGTCCCTTGGGTTCCTAGTCGAACAGACGGATTCAATAGCACGTCCCATTCCACTCTCGCCTCTGCAATCTTCTCAACCTGACTCCACCACTAACCACAAGCCTCCATTTATTCCTAACACAATCTCCTCCATATCATCCTCATCTCACATACACAACTCAACGTTTACCCTTTGCATTACACTCCATCAACTGGCCGGACGCGTGATGTCCTCCAATGGTCTACTCAGTGCATATCAGATTCAATCCATCTCCACTGCATATTTGTTCAACGATAGTTTCCTGGTTGGTTCGTTCCCAGCCACAGTTCTTTGTTGCTCATTCTCATTATTCTCGCCGTCTGATCTCCATATCCGGTAGCCAGTAAGCGTAAGCAGTTGTAGATGAACATGTGTAGTTTGTTCGAAATGCCTTTCGTAATGCGACAACTCTCTGAAACATCACATGCAAGCACTGACTTGACTGAATTAGTGTTGAAAATCTGGATGTTGATCACACCTTATGCTGAGTGCAGAAGATCTCCACATTGGTTTCAGGTTGATGAAAGCCTGTGTTTCTTTCTTTCCGATGCTGGCTACTTTGACATCCTCATGTGTGCCGCCTGTATTTGAAACGATGCTGCCTAGTTAGGTGAGAGAGACTACTTCCTTTAAGTTAGTTTTTGCCCTTAGATCTTCAAGTTCGTGCCACATCAGACACAAGTCATCGACGAAATCCTAATCTTCTAGGTTCTTTTCCCCGGTCCAGCGTATCCCCCTCTTCTCGCTCCCCACTGTTTATTGCATCATCGAGTCCAGTCGACCACAGTCAGGAATATCATGGGTGATAGTAGACAGCTTGTCTCACTCCTTCCTGTCTTCACTTCAAAGGTGTCTTTGAGCTTCCCATTGTGAAGTACTTTGCATGTAGCGTCTTCAACAACTTTTAGCTTCATCTTTTTTCTAGATGAGTTTATTAAGAAATTGTGATAAATTGAATTCATGTTTTTCGTTGATGTATTTTTAACAAATTGGATAATAAATACTTTACATACATTGTTTTATTAAGAAGAAAACTGCAATGTAACGGATTCTTCTTCGGTTTTTTAGCTAATAATGCGCGTAAATATGCATATAGATATTTGAATACTCGAGCATAACGAAAAAGAAATTTACTTTAATATCGAAAGGATTTTAGTTAAGAGACTGAGACAATGGCTGAATTTCTTTTCAGTTTATTTTGTCATAGAGGTGAATGTTGAATATTTAATGTAGTCAATAATCGACGATGGTCTCCTTTCTTTATCCTTTTCAACAGTTACCCTAAGAACTATACAAGTTAATTTGTGAGTAACATGTATTATACTTTTCCCTTTTTCTAACTAATAACATTATATTGCTTAATTAGTGTGCATTACGGAAGCTGCTTTGGTATAGGGTAATTTTCCAAGATTCAAAGCCAACCTATATGAATGGATTCTAATAGCATCACAAATGCACATTTCGTTATTTTAACTAAGCTATAAACATTTGTCAAACCTTGTTTTTCTTTGTATACTTACTAGTGTGCTAAAAGAATGCAATTTGGTTGATGTAGCTTATTGTGCAGCAACAAAGTAATTTACTCAGCCTATTTAATAAGAAAATAGAAAATGGAAACAACTGTTGAATTCTTCGACTCTCTTAAATATACAATACAAGAGTGTTAATGTTAAAAATTATGGTTTTATTCGGTTCAGTATTGTGTTCACATTCTAATGAGGAAACTTTAAGCAAAAGTGGACAATACTAAATATCTAGTAGATGAAAGCCAAATAATCTTTGGAAAATAAATCTTATGAGCAATCCAAGAAGATATTTTCACATTTAATTTATTTGAAAAGAATTCATAAGGTCAGGATTCATATCAGACCATAAAATAGAACTCGTGAAATGAAGCTTCTTACTGTTAACCGCTTCATTTAACTTTTAATTCAAAAATTCTGCTGAAATTTTAAGAAATCTTTAAAAGAGATGAAGTGTTTGTACTTCGCTGGTCAGTTTACTTTTTCATACATGAGTAAAAGTGTTCAAAACGGAAGTTACTTTAATAGTAATAATGGACAGTGGCTATTAGTGAAGTCTTGAACTTACGCTTTAACCTGTTTGAAACTCGTCAGGTGATATTATTCCCACTGAAAGTTGAACACAGAACTCACTATTTCAGGCGTTATACGGTCATTTACACGATCATGATAGCCATTTATTGTATAGTGGAAGATTACCGGTTATAATAAAAGTTAGTTTACCTAATTAAAAATTAACCATCACGATAGTTAATTTAAACAAAAAACACTTGAACAGTGAAGAATTTGTCGACCATTATGGTTAGTGATCAATAACAATAAACTAGAAGTTTATGGCATTCATTTTACTTTTCATGACATTCATGCAATAGTAAAGAGAATGAATCAAAGTAATCCGTTTGTTAGGAAGACGGTTGTAAAAAATCTAGTTTTTTTATACAAAGTGTGATAAGACAGAATAATGTAAATACAAGATAATACTGCTTGTAATAGGGTTTTCTGAGTAGTAAAGATAATTCTTAGAAGATATAATTTAACCGCTGAATTTGTATACAAGCTCCCCCAAAGTATCCCGAACAAATATGTAAGGAAACTTATCATTATAACCGTGAGCTATGTGCTGCTGCTGAGAAAGTGTTAAATAAAGCAATGAATGAAAAGATGAATACAACCTCATGAATATCCAGCAGTATCGAGTCGTCCACATAGGATCCCATCTGTCAACAAAGGTCGAGCGATTCCACTCTGTAGGGCAATGGGAAATTATAAACATGAACACAACAACTGATATCCCTTGCACAAGTGACTTTTTTGTCTCACTGGCCTAGTGGATAATGCTTTGGTGTCTGAAGCAACGACAACTTGGTTCGAGTCTCAGTGGGAACAACATCACTCACTGGGGTGCAGATATGTCCAGCTGACGAAACCCACAAGGATGAAATTTGTCTGGACAGCCATATATATATATATACATATATATACATATATATATATATAGGGTGAGCATCAATACTCATTGACGTGTTCTACGTGCATATTTGTGAATTAACTGGAATAGAGAAATATTAGTATTTCGATATGACTTCCACATTCACTTATGTATCTGAATAGAAGCGTAAGATAAAATGTAGGTTGTGGTGACAAGAACTGAACGAAGTTTATCAAGTATTTTAAGTTGATCAACACACTACTTTGAAATAAAAAAAGAGAAGAGCTCAACTTTAGGATCAGTTTGAGAAAATAATGGATATAAGTGTAAAAATTGGTCACTGTGGAAAGATTTAAGTTCATTTAAGTCGATTTATGAGATGTATCACACAGTGGAATATTATTAATTACTGGATTATGTTTCGAACACAATCTCTTGTTCACTATCATATGAAGATGACACCACAACTTTGAGACATTGTTTATGTGGTTTTAATTCTCTCACATTCTTTGCCATATAGGTAGTACGATTCTCTATATATCCTAGATAGTCACTCCTGTTGCATGTGTTTGGTATCGATTCGATAAACAAAGATTCGATTATCAACTTTCCCCTCCACCCAACTCGGTTAGTTTTAGAGATTTTCATTCTGCTTCATTCTACTTTGTAGTCATAAGTAACTTCGTGCATAGCTGTGGCTGAGCTCCTTTCTGAATCCCCTATCTTATTAGGATTCACCAATTTCCATCTAGCTAGGTTTTTGTATTCAGATGGAGTAATTGAACCTGGTCGACTAGTCTCACTTATGTATTTGATATCACAGTCGTTGGAATGGATTTGATAAGGTGAATTATTTCACCGAAATGAATCAGTAGGATCTTTTAACCTCAGAAGTTGATTTCTAAGTGAGTTTGTAGGTTTGAATGCTACTGTAATTCAAGCCTTATTGAGAATCCTACATATTATTTCTGAGATATCTTCATTGTAAGGTAATAGAGTAGTGGTTTTGAATTTTCTTCTCTCATTATTGGTGCTATTATTAATAACTTTATTCTTACTGTTGTTTAAAGAAGAAAATGTTCACTGTTCACAGGTAACAGTAACATGAAAGTGCCCGTAAACCACCGTACCTCCTATGCATATGGTGTTTTGTTACTTCTGAGGGGATTGTGAAGTCTGAAAAAGTCAAAGATACAATTGCATCCTCTGACAAATTCATTTCACTAGAACATTATGAGTAGATTTCTTCTCAATCCTCATTTTTCAAGTAATTGACTGCTCTGACTGATACATATTTCTGTTATATGTGAAACACATGATAAAAGCAATCTTTAGGAATTGTCTTATGATAGAATCAAGACGAGATAAAAAGAGTAAACAATGTTGTTATTCACTCTCAAAATATATGCGTGTGTACAATATTGTCAATCATTAGAACAAGGGCTCCGGTTGCTTACATTCATAAAGCTAGTTGTACCACTATGAATCCATTAAATGTAAACTTACAGAGGTCTGAGGAGCCAGGCAATATCAGTGGACCTTATGCAATAGTTATGGCTCATTACCTACTGCACGAATGTGTGCAAGGTTACCGAGTGTATATACATATACATATATGTATATTCATATGTGTTTACATAGCACTGAAGTATAATAGTAGAACGCTAAGAATAGTTGAAAACAAGACTTGAAAATTGTAAGCAGATATGTTTGAAAACATATTTAAGTAAATACATTTTGTAAAGTCAAGCTGCAATCACCATTCATGAAACTTAAAGCAAGTAGTCTCTCTCACCTAACTAGGCAGCATCGTTTCAAATACAGGCGGCACACATGAGGATGTCAAAGTAGCCAGCATCGGAAAGAAAGAAACACAGGCTTTCATCAACCTGAAACCAATGTGGAGATCTTCTGCACTCAGCATAAGGTGTGATCAACATCCAGATTTTCAACACTAATTCAGTCAAGTCAGTGCTTGCATGTGATGTTTCAGAGAGTTGTCGCATTACGAAAGGCATTTCGAACAAACTACACATGTTCATCTACAACTGCCTACTCTCACCCGTTACTGAATGTGGAGATCAGATGGCTAGAATAACGAGAATGAGCAACAAAGAACTGTGGCTGGGAACGAACCAACCAGGAAACTATCGTTGAACAAATATGCAGTGGAGATGGATTGAATCTGATATGCACTGAGTAGACCATTGGAGGACATCACGCGTCAGGCCAGGTAGTCGAGTGGAGCTCAGATGGGAAACGTCGAGTTGTGTATGTGAGATGAGGATGATATGGAGGAGATTGTGTTAGGAATAAATGGAGGTTTGTGGTTAGTGGTGGAGTCAGATTGAAAAGATTGCAGAGGCGAGAGTGGAATGGGGACGTGCTATTGAATCCGTCTGTTCGACTAGGAACCCAAGGGACAAATAATAAACAATGATGATTTTGTAAAGTGGAAAATATTGTATAATAGTTAGTTTAAGTCTACTCTACCCGGAGTTAAAATTAATTCCAGCAAAATAAGTTCTAATTGATCCATCAAGATGAGAAATAGATGAATTACTTCAGGCCTTCCGTTCAATGAACTTTCTCAATGGCCACTTTTAACTATAGTGGGTCATGAAAAAATAATTTAAGAGTTCCAGTAGAGTATGAAACACACCAGGTTCAAGCAGTTAGTATGTATTTGTGACACTGTTTATCAGTATTCACTTTGTTTTGTAGTCCTGTCAATGTCGCAAGTTGGACACCTAACGAGAAAGGTAAAGTTCAGTTAAGAAACTTTCATATACTCAACCAGTTTCATCGGTTTATAAACGTTTTCTATGGTATGAGAAGATATCTGTGACTCTTTGTGACAAATTTTGAAACAGACAAAAATGCATATACGTTGGTATAACTTATCACTTATTAAGACGCGCAATATCATCTTTTTCGATCGTCAAAGAAGTCAGAAGTCAAGGAATGTATTCAGAACAAGTTAGACCCATGCAGAAATTCCGGGAAAAAAACACTTGACACTCTGTGAATATCCAAATGGACAAATTGGTGTAATAAATGGTTTCAGAAAGTTATAATTTGTTAATGCATGTAATTCTCAGTTGTTGTACCAGGTTGGATTGACCAACCTCTTCTGGAATATGGGTTTCTATGCAGATATCTTGATATCCTCTGAGTGTTTACTTGTTGGTGGTTGGAAGTGAAATCCAGAACATGCCTTTCGTCATATTTTGGAATCATCAGTTGGATGTATCTGAAACCCAGTCACGATGATTTCCGCACTGAGCTTAGAACCATGCTAATGGATAACACAATCAATAATTTTGAGCAATAAAAAAAATTTTAAAATAAAAAAATTGACTTACAAGTTGATTTTTATTATAGACCAATTCCAAACTGTCAACACTGACAGAAAGTGAAATACTTGCTGAATGCTCTACAAAAAACAAACAAAATCATATAGGGAAGTAAATGACTGACTATTATCTGATATTTGAAATACTACTTTACTGTATTCTATTAGAAGTAAGCACTCATTTACTGCTTCTTCATCAACTTTGTGTTTCTATACCCTCAGTTATCTGTCAGTAGGATTAAGGACAACTATATGTACTTGTATGAAATGACCGTCAAGTCACTGATCAATGTCATAACCTTATATAATTATATAACTTTGTTCTCCACAGAATGTATATATTTTAACCTGATGACGAAATATTCTAAGGACTGAAGTAAGTTGAAGGTGAATAACATTAAAAGATAAGAACTTCTCATTACTCATGGGAATACTTCATTTAGTATAAATGTTCCGATGGACCGAAACAATGAATAGCTAATTTTGGGCGAGTTGTGGAGATTTGGAAATATTTCAAGTTGTTATTCATAGTAGACTGACATCAGTTGGAGGAACAATGGAAACCTGGGAGCACTGGACAGCTGTTTCGTCCTAGTATGGGATCCTCAGCAGTGCGCACCCACGACCCCACACCAGCAGGGATCGAACCCGCGACCTTCAGGTTCCACGGCCAGCGCGTTAGCATTGAGCCACTGGGTCAGAATCCAACGCTCCATATTTCCAACTTCTGTCAGCTCACTATATAGCGCAAACCGCCACCCGATATCATCATTGAGTATCTGTCCTCATGGCCATCAGGCTTTGACTCCACCGGTCACGACTTCTCATTGGATCTTCGGGAATACTTCTCGAAGCTAGTCACCAATGAGCACCGGTGGAGTCAAAGCCTGATGGCCATGAGGACAGATACTCAACGATGATATCGGGTGGCAGTTGCACTATATCGTGAACTAACAGAAGTTGGAAATATGGAGCATTGGATTCTGACCCAGTGGCTCAATGCTAACGCGCTGGCCGTGGAACCTGAAGGTCGCGGGTTCGATCCCTGCTGGTGTGGGGTCGTGGGTGCGCACTGCTGAGGATCCCATACTAGGACGAAACAGCTGTCCAGTGCTCCCAGATTTCCTTTGTTCCTTCAACTGACGTCAGTCTATGATGAATAACAACTCGGAATAGCTAATTATTGTAATTATTACAAAAAGGAAATTCTACTCCCAAGCAATTTGACAGTACTACTTTTATAAGTATTTTAAAGACATGTTGATTGTTTCATGTAATTTTATTAAACACTAATAATCACTTACCTGTAAACTATGTCCATCATTTCGCAACCTAAGTGGGATTATTGTACATTTATAACCTATTACATGTTACAGACATGTTGTTTATCTGCATAAGCAAGTTGCCTGTATATCTAATAGAAGGGGGAAGATAGACTGCTAGTAATAGAATTCAGATAAATCATCTTGTGTTCAGTTTATTGAGTGAATTGTAGATATCGAAAGTGTAGGCAAGTGCAGTGATAAACAGAATCAGGCGACAGTATCAGATGTTCATATATCTCTATCACATGAAGGAAGCTTATCAGTTTTGGTTGTATTGTGTTCTCTGAACTGGGTTGTTTAATCATGAAGCTTTTATCGTCTTTCTAGAAGACATCATCAGCAATAACTTCAGTATGAAGTGAGCTGTCAATATCTCTCAGTGAATGATCCAGTAGCTTGCCCTGAAGAACTAGTTTGTGATTGGTTGTTTCCTTTGGTTGTTGTGGCACTGACTGCAGAGATTTTCCTGCTGGCAGTTCCTCTGCTTCACCTCTCACCTTTCTGTCGTTTATCATTTTTCTCATTAGTTGATAGATTGGGCCTATGTCTATACATCTGTTGATTGCTGACTGACCTGAATTCCAAGGTTCTAGGAAGTCTTCGATATTCTTTGTGTTTCCTCTGTTTAAGATTTCTACATTGTCAAAATTGAATTCATGTCCATAGCTGTGATCCACGTGCATTGAAATGAGTGATGAAATGTCGTGGCGTTTAATAGCCAATTGGTGCTCATATAGACGAAGGCGAATAGGGCGGCCACTTTGTCCAATGTAGTATTGACTAGTCATTGCAACTGATTTTATAAATGATATTCGATTTGTTTTCTTTGCTTGTTGCATCCTTTGGCCTGTATAATAGTGTTTGGAGGGAATTTTTCAGTTTATGAGCCACACCAATTCTAAGTGGTCTCAGTAATCTTGTCATGATTTCTGGCATATCCTTTATGTGTCGTAGGATGATGGGTTTGTTGATTTCTGTCGATGACTTTGTAGTTGATGATGTACGAGATAGGCATCTTCTGATAAAGTTTCATGGGTAGCCGTTCTTCTTTAGGATGGACATCAAGTAATTTTCTTTGTTTCTCCGTGAAGTCGTTGAACTGCAGTGTGTTCTTATTCTTTTCAGTAGTCTGCAGGCAACCGATCTTGTGGGTTGTTGTGTTGTTGCTACTGTAGTTGAGGATTTGATCATTGTGTGTTTGCTTCCTGTACACTTGGATTTCCAGCTTTCCGGCATTTGTCCTACTGACTAAAACATCTAGGAATGGTAGTTGGTTGTTTGGCTTTTTCTCCATTGTGATTTTGATGTCATTTAAAATGTTGTCGATCAAATTGTAGGTGTTTTCTATATCATCCTTTTTAATTATGACAAAAGTGTCGTCCACATAGCGAATCCAGATTTTTGGTTTGATCACAGGTAGAATGATGGCTTTCAGTCTCTGCATCACTGCTTCCGCAATAGGAGTTCCTTTCATCTGTTTGTATTTCTTGTCGTTGAATTGGAAGTGTGTTGTCATACAAAGGTCCATGAGTTTCATCAGACTTGAACATTTGAGTTTTGTGAGTTCTGGAAGGTTTTTGTCTTCATCGATCAGTAGGATATCGTTTCCTTGGCCAATTGAGGTTCGATGGATGTATATAGTGCTGTGACACCGAAGGATATCATTAAATCATCGTTTTCCGTGTTAATACTTTTGATCTTTTCCGTTGGTGACCTGATGGGATGTCCGCAGGATTAGACGAGGTGTTTCAGTTTTCTCAAATGTTCTCTTGATATGTTGTATGTTGGAGTTCCCTGAAGTGAGATTATTGATCGTAGAGGAATATCGGATTTGCGTAGTTTTGGTCTGCCGTAGAATTGAGGAAGGATAGGTCCATTCGATTTCATACGCCATCCGTCTTGCTTTGTTATTTCTTCTGCTTTGAAGAGTTTGTTCAGGGTTTTATTGATCTGGTTGTTGAATTTTTGGATAGGGTTGGTTTCAAGTGGTTGATACACATTTTCATCTTTGAGTAATTTCTGTGCCCTCTTGAAATAGTCTTCTTTGTCCATGACAACTGTAGTGCGTCCTTTGTCTGCTGGAAGTACAAAGATATCTTTCCTATTTTTCAGTCTTTTTAATATTTTCTGTTCTTGAGTGTTCATTTGAGCATGATGTCTCCTCTGCCTACTTATTAGTTTATTTGGTATCATAATCATAATCACCATCAGGCTTTTAATCTTTGAAGCTAAATAACGATTATATATATATATAATCAGCTAATTATCTACATATAAAAAAAGACAGAGTGAAATGTTTGCAAATACTGAAAGTGAATAGATTTTGTATCTTATGATGATATTGTGTTCTTCAAGCTAGATTGTGTTATCGTGGAGCTTTCGTTGTCATTCAAGACAACATCGTCAGGACAACCTATACCCTAAAAAGAAACAATTCGATTTCATTTCATCCATTGGATTAGTGAAACGTTTTCTTTAAGGTTAGCGTATATGCATGTATTCGAAAGGCAGTGGTGAGGTATCTGGTGTACTAAACCCCTATCTGAGCTCAAATTTTACTTTCTGTGAGCACATTTCTAAATATCTTAACAAGGTAACGTAAGTCTTGAAGAAAATAGATGGATAGGAAATGTTATTCTCTCAATAATTTCATCAGATGACATTAGGGAGACCGAAATAACCTCATTACGTCTTTTTTCCCTTTAGAATATTTTTAATGTAAACTAGCACATCTTGAATCAGAGTGTGTGTAATATATGTGAACGTAAGTGTATAATCTTTGGCGGGATTTATAAAGTGTATGTGTAACGAAAACCTGTTGCAGTCATTTTAAGTAAGGATCAGTCAACAGGTATCTAACCTGGATGTATCTTCATTCAGAATACTGTAGAAACAGTAATGCAGACGATAACATATAACCAACAATTCCAAGGAATTGATTGATTGATATGAAAAGATGCACTCAGGTTGATTTCAGGCATGATGAGGAACAAAATTAGTTTAATCCGAAAACTGACTAAAAGTCTTCTTAATTACTGTCAACATTAGTGGGTAGTAAAAATGCTGGTATCCATAGATACACGACTGTTGTTAGGCCTCATTAAGAAAAATGACTCTAAAGAGACGATCGTCACTGGAAGTTATGAGTCCCTAACAACAGTCCAGCTAGCTAAAAAGACATGTTTCCATTGCCCAACCAATGGTCTGAATATGAATCAAATTTAGATATTACTCCTTTAATTCTCTTAAAATCTTAGAGGGTTGTTTCAAGTCTGAAGTGATGAGAATCAGTAGGATCTGACAGTTCTTCACCAGAAATATTTGGAGGGGTAAAATTAATGTCCTTGTTATATGATTTGCTAGATGGTGTATAAGCATTTGAAGTAGTCTAGTCAGGATGATTGACATGATCAGTCTTTTAAATTTAAAGAAGGGCGACAAATCTTCCAGAAAAAACAACAGAACAGAAGAGTAGAGTAGATGAAGCAATCCTATCAGGTGAAGAGGCTGATTAACTGCTTGGTCTTCTGAAAACTATCACTGAATTACTTTTCGGACATAATTTATTGTCCATAGTCATATCAAGATAACTATATAACTTTGAGATATCCTTTATTTAGACAATAAATTATGTCCGAAACGTAATCCAGTAAACAATACTGTCACAGTGTGTGGTAAATCTAATAGACTAATAAAAGTGGAGTTACATTCTGTCTACCATCGCACCTCCTAAACATATCTGTCAACTTTAATGTC